GGACACTTATGGATTCTATAAAAAAAAAAGTTATTTTTATATGTTAATAATTGTGTAACAAAACTTAATTAGTTGAAATTAAGTACATGAGTGAAGCCACCAATTTTGTCTACTTTTAGTACATTTTGTCGCATTAATCATTAATATTTCTTCCGTATTAATCATTAATATTTCTTGGTATATTTTAATAAATCTTACGATACCTATTAAATAAATAGGCCTATCATTTTCCGAATTATTTCAAACCGAATTTTATTTTCAATCGATTTATATCATGTAGAAGGCCTATGAGAAGCTGTAATAGCATAATAGTCTCATTCAAATAAATGTTAATTAATGAAATATCCAAATGCTTGACAAATTATAACTAAGGTCGAAATTACGACTATCTACGATATTAGATATTGAATTAAAATGTTACAATAAGTAATTATTTTTTATAATTTATAATTAGTCTGTTTATATTAAGATGTGAAGTTTAAGATTACGTGGCTAATCTAGTAGCTCCAACCATACACCTAACTTTCTAATTTTAAAATGTACAGAAATTTATAGTTATTGTTTAATATGAACTTTTTTATATGCTATATCTCGATGGAACAGATTTTTGCGATGTTTTTATTAGTAGAAAAATTTTAATAATTATATTAATAAATTACGTATTAATTTTAAAGGTAAAAGCTTACATAAGTAGGTCTATACAATTGAAGTAGCGTGCAATAAAACAGTTTTATTATAATTGGGACACCGTGAGTTTGATTTTTTTAAATCAAAATTTAATATTTATTTATTTGAATTGTAACCAATACAATTATTATAAAAGTCACGTTATAAAATCAACTTGATTTTGATATAGCTGATCGAATGCATTAATATATAAACTAAAGAAAGTTATTCTAAATACAGTAAAGGTAATATAGATAATATAATTGTTATATTTTCGTTTAAATTTATATATTTTTATCAAAGATATTAAATTGAAATACATATGTAATTATTTCGGTTAAAGATAGTTAGGAAACATTTGTTTTTTTTTTTTTACAATAAAATTGTAAAAGCAATAAAAGTCTTATTATAATGTTTTTAATTATTGTATTTTTAAAATAATTAATTATTACTATTCACAAATGAGATTATTATTCTTCAAATAAATGTTAAATTTTATTATTTATTCATTAAATACAATGCTTTAAAACATGAAATCATGACATTTTTGCAGGTTCTAATTTTATGATCTGATCGTTCTAAATAAAATGTTTTACTTTGTTGTTTTCCGACATCAAATCTTTTACATTTGAAGCAAAAACGTATCGAGAGTAATGGTTAATTAATATACTTTATATATTTTTTTAATTTATAAATATGTAAAAATTTGAGTTTTGTTATCAAAATTAATCTCTTAAGAAGCAAGTGTCATAAAAATAATGTGGTTCGGCTTCCATTGGTTGTTAATTTGCTTAATTAAGATAAGTTTAATTAAAAATTTATAAATTAAATTTAAAAATAGAACAATTTACAACATGTTTCTATTCTAAAACTTTATTTAAATTCAAAGTACTTAAAGTTGCTGTAAGCAAGATGAACCACTCCAAATATCACAATATTTGTAATTACTCTTTTATATTTGAATATTCGTATTAACATTAACATTTATTTACACAAAGAATGATAAATTATTTTTAAAGAAAATTAATTTTAATTATTAAAGCGTTTTAATCTTATGACGAACGTAATAATTTAGACACACGTATCTGGAAAATGATAGGCCTATTTATTAAATAGGTATCGTAAGATTTATTAAAATATACCAAGAAATTAATTAATTTATGGAGAAAAATGAAAAAATAAATTGATTAAACATCTGTATATGCAGTATATATAACACGTGTTTTAAACGTATACACATAGCGAACAAAATATAAATAAAATTCAACAATATAAGTAAATAGGACAAAGAACAACTTAACAGCATTACGTTAAAGACATGCAATTAATCAATAAATGTTGATATTTTTAATTTATATCGATACGTACCGATAATATAATCGTATTCCTTTTCTGAAACATTTAGTATCTCTGTCTTCTTATCCAACACTCGAAACATCGCAAGTATAGATAAAAAGAACGTTCTGATTAAGTTCATATTTTCCAATCAAGAATGCATAACTTTCAATTTCGTTTCTTTTATTTGAAAAATAGGATACATATCACGTGATAAACGTGACGATTTACGCTCCATTTACATTAAAGGGCGTGGTTTTTAGGAACAGACACGATTACTTTCAATCTAAAACAAAATTTCCCATAAATTGAAATATTTATCAAACAAACACTCTCTCTATATATAAAAATATGTACGTATGCTAAAATACATTTAACCAAACACTTATTATGGTATTTTTAAGCATGCAACGATTGTTCTTTATTTTAGAACATAGTCGTGACGCTTACAGGAATTATTCTGTATTTAGAAAATAACTTAATAATAAGTTGATAAAATTTATTATTAAAACGTCGCAATAAATTCTATAAAAAATCAGTTTGCAACAATTAATTATTATAACAAGCGTTCAATAACAGTATGATACGTCCACCCTATTGACAAAAAATATTCTAATTTATTTATTCGAACGTTATTTTTAAAACATTTATAATGGAAAATATGGTGTATTGAATCATTCGCAATACAATTCATGTGCCCATGTTGATAAAAAATACAGTACTTATTAATTATTGAAATATTTTTTTATTTTTGAATTAGCCTCTTTTGGACACTTATGGATTCATCACTGCATTAAATTAAACATCGATGTATTTATTTTTTATAAATCAATGTGAATTATTTATATGTGCTAACGTGTATATATAGAACTTAATTTTACAGAGAAAAATTACCAAATGCGTACAGGTCTCATAATCATACTCCATATGTGTTTTACATTTATTTGAACTGACGGAATCTAGTGACAATGTTAATGTTTAAGTTACTTGCCAGCATCAAGAAAACTGCATTTGATTCAAAAGTTTCTTCTTTGTACTCTCAAAATTGAAATTTAAAAATGCATGATGAAGCATAATATAAAATGTAGGTATGATTTAACTTTTTATTAATTTTAAATAGACAATATCATTTTCAAAAAGAGTTCATTTTTACTGGCGCAGATAAAAATGTTCGCAATTTATATTTATAGGCCTACATTTATTAGATACTATTTCAACATTAATTGTAAGTTATGATAAATATGTTTCGTGCTAGTGCACTTTTCCTGTAGACGGAATTATTACACTGGACGGTGACGGAACCGAACGAAATTAAGACAGTTTTTTCCTTTTTCAAGTATTTATTGTGAAATGCATTTCGGACCTATCAGTTCCTTCATCAGTCACTATATATAAATTTAAATATTCGATTAAAAATATTAATTTGATGAGTTCGTGCTATATGATGATGTCACACAACGGTAATTTACAAACGTGTAGTACATCACTTTTTCACATCTGCTTTAACATTGCCTTCGGGTGTGTTTTCCTCCGACTTACAAGTATACGTTGGTTTGTTTATTTTTCCTCCTTCCTCATCAGTTAGGAAACCCTCTCAACATTCATGAAGCTGTAGGCCTGTGTTTTCGTTTAATCGTTTATTATTTTTTATATTTATAAGTTCTAAATAGTTTTCTTTTAAACATATTTTCTTCATGTTTCTGATTTTACTTTTATCTTTATTATTTCGCATACATTTTGTTTAACTTTGCCAGGAAAATAGTTAGTAGGCTACTTGATATGCTATGGTATGATATATCGAATTCTTTTAGTTAGTTCCTAATATACAGTTTTAAGTTATAAAGGGAGTAGTTTTTAATATCGATCAGTAGCCTGTAGCTTACCGGGTTTTTATGTGTTTTTATTCTAAAAAAATATTCTGATGTTTTCTTATTCAATTTTAAAATGATTTTTGTTTCGTCTTCAGATAGGCCTATTTGTTTTGGGTCTTTAGGTCTTTAACAACTTTTTAAGGCTTTGTAATTATGCTTTGTGTTGAATCTGTTGTTAATTTATGATAATTGTGTTGATTTATTTATTTATGCATTATTCTACCATAACTTTGTTTTTCTGTTAAAATTAACCGTTTGGTGTTATCAGCCTTAACTATTGTTCACTTATTTTCATTTAAAAATTGTTCAGTCATCGTAACATCATTATTATTTTTAATTATGTTTTACTTTTCCTTTTTGTTTAATTTATGGTTACTAAAAATTTTTTGTATGTTCTTTCTCACTTTAAGTTTTTGATCTTGTGAGACTTAAGTGTTCTGCACAACATTTTTCATGTTAACGATTAAATTGGTCCCGTTTACATTCCCCGGTCCGTTAAATTGTTAAAAAATTATTAAACATTAAACTTCAGTTTAATAATTTTTTAACTGTAACAAGAATATTAATTTTAGTATGATTTAAAACGGTATATCTAACCACTGTTCCTTTTCTTTTAGTGTTGGATATTTTAACTTTACTTATTACAGAAATACTTATTAAAATTGTTCGGGTTATTTTAATAATAACTTAAACAATTTTAATAGGCAATAGAAGCAATTATTGTATCTATTGTCTTATTCAGTTTTCTACTTAATTTCTTTAGTTTATATTTTATATATTTAATTAACGATTTTACTATTAGTATTTCGATAATCTTAACATTATGCTTTTGTGTACAAACTCTAATAGAAAGCTGTTGTTGTAAAGTTCTTAACGGAATATCTTCATCTAAGCATTCCTTCAAGTACCAAATGTCCGTTTTCAATCTTTGTATCTCTTCATCTTCTGCCGTGTTATCCAGGATATAGACGTAAATATAAAAATGTGCACTAGCACGAAACATAATAAGTCAACGGACAAAAAGCGATTTGAATAATATTATATATATATATACATGAGGATGTGTGTTTCTTTGTTTGTTCGCTATACCCTTGTTTCTTATAGGCCGTTCTACTAATTTCTAAGATCTTCGATAGTAACGTTTACATACTTCTAAGAAAACCCCATCCCAAAGTATCTATGGATTTCTATAAACCAATTAATATCTATCTACATCCGATTTGCATATTTAGACGTAGCACTATCTATTGGCAAAAATTTAACAAAATAATAAACTAAATATAATTGTTATATATGTTTTAAAATTATATCTTTTTTTATATTATAGTCACTTAATTACTGCGACAATGATAATAGCTCGAAATACTCGCTATATCAGTGTTTATCAACCTGTGGTCGCGACCCCCCAAGGGGGTCGCAAAGGCATTCATGGAGGTCACGGGTAAAAGAAAAAGACAAGTGTTTGTAGGTCCTACACTACAATAAAAAAAACCTACAATTTCACTGAAAAGGCTGTGCCTGTTTATTTTACAGTACAATTGGTTTTTTTAATCGATATTTAAATCTCTACAGAAAGAAAAAAAGTAGTTTTTAAAAGCACTGACATAGATTTATTATTGCCATGGAGATCGCCAGAATTTTTTAACTTGTAAAGGGGTCGCGTATTCAAGAAGGTTGAAAAACACTGCGCTATATCATTACTGAGACAGGTAGCACATAGCACTTGTCGGCGTGGAATCGAAAGTGTTACCCTGTAAAAAGTCTGTAAGTATTTAATTTTTCACATCTAACAACTCGGGGTTTTTCATTTCTGAATGGTGCTTTCTTAATTTTAATAAGTGCCCTTCGGTAGCCAAGTGGATAAGAATCATCGAAAACTGGTAGTCGGTCGTGGGCATGGCCAACGGGTTGTCTACGTAAATTTATGCTAATAACAAAAAGTAATAATTACTACAACGAGGTTAATTTGTTTTTCTTTTTAAGAGTTACTCGTGTAAAACGTTATAACCTTCCTTCTAAGATCTTCTAATTGTAAAATAACTACGAATGGCACGAAAACTATAAAAATTAATTTTTTTCCAAGTTGAAACCATCTGCGACAACTACTGATTATAAAACCAGAATCACCGTTACCAGAAACAGTTTACTATAAATAAACAGACCGTGTACAACTACACATTTTCCTTTTAAAGAGTGTAACCAAAAATTTTGGAATATGAAAATTCTTCCAAAAGTTTTATAATTATAAAATTCACAATACATGTTAAATAAATTAAAGCGTACATATTTAAGCAGCAATTTAGTTTAACAAAATTAAGCATAGACCATTTTCTTTTCACTCGTTTTAGAAGGTTTATAATCAATTTTCAGAACTTGTTATGAATTCTTTTACAAATGTTTTGCGGTGAAATTGGATTTCATCCTTTGTAATAGTCTGCACATTCTACTCTCAATCTCAGTTCGGGTATATTTCGACCATATTTTTCACAAAATATGTATTGTATTTCATATTCATTACATTAGGAAATGTGCCTCGAGTGCAATGGGACATTACTATATCTGGCGAAACATGTAACTTTCATTCTTCAAGAATGAGAAAAGTCTTTTACGGATATACGGTACGTTGAAAGCATGTGAACGATCGCGAGGGCTTATGCTGTCTCCAGACCAGGGGCAGATCTACATAGGGACTAATAGGCCTTAAGCCTTAGGCCTCAAATATCAAGTGCCCACGAAAATTTAATTATTGACATAAATTTTTAATACTTTTTCATTAACAATGAGCACTTATCGTATAGTAAAAAGTAGTTAATATTAATTATATAATAATAATGATGATTTATAGTATTATTTGTTTTATTGTAATCATAATTAGTCAGTAATTAATCATTGTGAATACTTGTTTATTTCTTATGCTTTTTATATAAGAAATAAAGTTTGTCATGCAAAACCATTTAATAAATAAATATATTTCAACTCTGATTTTGATATTATTAAAAATGAATTTTAAACTCCAATTTAGAAATGTTTAATCTAATCAAAAATGAAGCCTCCTTGTAATTCAATAAGCCTTAGGCCCAAAAAAACCTAGATCCACACCTGCTCCAGACTACAGAAAACAACGATAAAAATACCACTTTTTATTACAAATTAACTATTTATGATAACATTTTGTATTTTTATCGTTAAGAGTTTTACAATAGTATTTATCCTTGAATTTATTATTCAATTGTAACGTCGTCCAAAAATTACACAATTTTCAACAATTGTCGTTTTAGTGACAATATTTGTCAAATCACTCAAGTTCCCACAATTTTCTATGAACAAGATGGAGAAACATTTAAACTAATCAATTCAATAAAAATATTGGCTCTGCCATACGTAGTACTAAGTAAACTACTAGTATAATTAAACTACTAGTATAATTACGAAAAATAAACAAGCAATTATTTATTGTGACATGGTCACAATTCCGGGCTGCAATTTTTAATTATATTTTTAATTTATTTAACTTAAAATATTTTCTACACCAATTAGTACTGGCGTTCACCTGTACAGTACTTCATACTTTTCTTTTAACAATACAGTTATGATGTAATTTACCAAAAGAAAATTATGAATTGAATTAACATTATTATCAGGTAGCGTTTGTGGGTTCCCAGATGACTTTCAAACTCGAGTAAACCGTGAGATTCTTGCGCAACACAATATGTAAACAACGAGACTCGGAACTGTTCGAGTATGTGTCAAACTATCTTTCAAGGTCTTAGCGGAACACAAACTCTAACACGAGCGCTCATAAATAGGTAAATTATTGACTCGCGAACCTATAAAATGTTGACCGACATAAACTTTTCCGAACAAAAACAGGAGATTTTTTGATAGATGAAAGATGAAAATGATCGTTAAATTCTTAGACGTAAAAAAAATGGTATAAACAACGGCCTTAGTTATGAGTGCAAGTGTTATTGTTTTATAAACAGTCACCGAGCAGAATCCACAAAGAGGTATCAAATGGACATCTCGAATCGGACCTTCCCCGCGACCCGAAAAGGTTTCGTATTGCACCTGGAGACAAAGGAAAGACCAATCGGGAAGCGAGGAATGGGACGAGGGACTAATCCGAAATGCGAATAGTAAAGGGAAAACTATAAAAATCGAAACTACAAGATCGAAGGAGAGTCTCTTCTCAATTAAGCCTACAGTTGTGCTTTATCTATTGTGTTGTGCTACCGCCGATCACCTAGGACGCCGCAGCTTAACACCGAACATCTGCATCGTCCAGCGATCCTTCTCGTCCGCCCGGGCTACGACCGATCACCCGAACTCTCGCCGTTTCATAGGAACACCGAGATTTTGGAATTTTCCAATATCGATGTAAGCATGAATTCGAACAAATAAACGGGTTTTCTCTTGTAAAACACTTGTACTTCACTTGCCTCCTTCGCCACCGCCCACATACGCGGTTTCCCTTAGGCTCTTTCTGACGCGGAATAAATTGTACTTTCCTTAAAGTCGACAACCTTGCACATTGGACGATCCTATACAGTTAATTCGGGCCTCCGGCACCAACGGTTTCCATACCTCATTTCACCATTCATCTATCTAACTCTTTTCTTGAGATTAAGGATCGACAGACAAGCAGCTGGACGACAGTGGAAATTTATAGGTCTACAATTTTTTCAAATTTCAGCCCAAAAGAAACTTTCTTCCTCGGCATTAGTAACAAATTTAGCTATCGACATCGAATAATTAATATTTTTGCTGCAAATCCGTTTTTAAAACTGAGAAACTCGGTTCAAAGGAGCAAACATAAACGAAATAATGTTGTGCTTAATGTGCGTTTTAAACAGGAAAAGTTATTAGACAATGCATGTTTTTAAAACCGTCGATCCTGTGGCTACTAAGAGGACATTTTGATTAATTCCATTATGGGTTCCGCCAACCCCGATTGAGCGAGCAGCCAGCTGGAGGAGAACAAACATATCTTACACGGTCTGCCAAGAACAATTATTTCTTTACTAAAAAGTGTGCAACAGAAGTGGAATAAATACTCACAGAATATTTGATATTCATTTAAATTTTATTTCATTAATGCAGTAGTTTGATTACAAGAAACTCTGAATACTATTCGTTATAAGAATTCTTGGAATATTTTATTGAATTATTCATGTCATAAATGATGTTTATTTCCGTCCACTATTTCCCTCTAGCTGGATTGCATTTTCCAGAAGTTTTAGTCGGTGAATTATCCGGTAGGCCATAGCAATAGCATGAAACTTTACCCCAATAGCAATATCCTTTATCTGCTTTCCTTTCTAAGCACAGATCATTGCAATAATCGTCTTTCAGGCATTCGTACTTGCAATTTCCTGAATCAACTGGATATCCGTCCTTCTTACACTCTACACCTAAACACGTATAGAGTAAAATTTAGTATTCAAAAAGTAAGATATAATCGATATCAAAACACGTCATTTCTTTATGAATAATTAGAATACGTCATCATTCTGTTTACTTTTTCACAGAAGCTGAATGCAAAAAGTTACATATTACAACAACTAAATGTTAATACAATACTTCACTGAATATCTATTATATTTAAAACATCCATAACTGATCGCATTACAATCATTACAGAATTTATAAATTTGATTAATTTACAATATATCATTAGAAATACGAGTAATGCAGTTATCTGTATGGAAAATCTTACCTAAAGCCAACAAACACGTAAGAGCAATCAGCAACAAAAACTTCATTTTCTTTATAATTGGAACTTACTTTAGTAAGACGCTAAATGTTTGAATTTTGCAGGTTCGAGTCTGATATTTATATCTTGTTTAATTGGAAATGACGCGGAAGTTATTTCGTAATTATTATATTTTTATTATTAAAATAATACATAATATAGAAATAACAACTTTAGAAAATTAAATACGCTTTAAAAAGTTTTTACGATTANTATATTATAAAAATAGCAGATTGTCATTAGCAACAGCAAAAGAGTGGAAACATCATTCGCACTTGTTTGCAGAAAGACCGTTGTTTGCCTCACGTAACTGCCAAATGGAAAGTCCGTTGCTCGAGTCATGTAATGGCCAAACAGAAATCCGTTGCTCGCAGCATCTGTTATTTGAGGTGTATGTTATATGAAACACCACTGTACTTCAAAGCATCAAGAGATACCGAGCACAGGTACAGGAAGTGTTGCAATATACTTTAAAATTAATTTATGAGCTAATACAAGATAAATTCCTACAGCTTCATATTGAACTACAAGAAATTATAACAGAGATCAATGTTCTAAAAGAGGAAAATAAACATTTTCATGGAAAGTTGACAAAACTGTCTCAAAAGGTAGAAGAATTAGAGAAAACATCCAAGAATAACTCCCAATTAAAAGGTATGTTGGATATGAAATAGACAAACTAGTTAACGTGAGAAATAATAAAAATATAATAATTACGAAATAACTTCCGCGTCATTTCCAATTAAACAAGGTATAAATATCAGACTCGAACCTGCAAAATTCAAACATTTAGCGTCTTACTAAAGTAAGTTCCAATTATAAAGAAAATGAAGTTTTTGTTGCTGATTGCTCTTACGTGTTTGTTGGCTTTAGGTAAGATTTTCCATACAGATAACTGCATTACTCGTATTTCTAATGATATATTGTAAATTAATCAAATTTATAAATTCTGTAATGNAAATGAAGTTTTTGTTGCTGATTGCTCTTACGTGTTTGTTGGCTTTAGGTAAGATTTTCCATACAGATAACTGCATTACTCGTATTTCTAATGATATATTGTAAATTAATCAAATTTATAAATTCTGTAATGATTGTAATGCGATCAGTTATGGATGTTTTAAATATAATAGATATTCAGTGAAGTATTGTATTAACATTTAGTTGTTGTAATATGTAACTTTTTGCATTCAGCTTCTGTGAAAAAGTAAACAGAATGATGACGTATTCTAATTATTCATAAAGAAATGACGTGTTTTGATATCGATTATATCTTACTTTTTGAATACTAAATTTTACTCTATACGTGTTTAGGTGTAGAGTGTAAGAAGGACGGATATCCAGTTGATTCAGGAAATTGCAAGTACGAATGCCTGAAAGACGATTATTGCAATGATCTGTGCTTAGAAAGGAAAGCAGATAAAGGATATTGCTATTGGGGTAAAGTTTCATGCTATTGCTATGGCCTACCGGATAATTCACCGACTAAAACTTCTGGAAAATGCAATCCAGCTAGAGGGAAATAGTGGACGGAAATAAACATCATTTATGACATGAATAATTCAATAAAATATTCCAAGAATTCTTATAACGAATAGTATTCAGAGTTTCTTGTAATCAAACTACTGCATTAATGAAATAAAATTTAAATGAATATCAAATATTCTGTGAGTATTTATTCCACTTCTGTTGCACACTTTTTAGTAAAGAAATAATTGTTCTTGGCAGACCGTGTAAGATATGTTTGTTCTCCTCCAGCTGGCTGCTCGCTCAATCGGGGTTGGCGGAACCCATAATGGAATTAATCAAAATGTCCTCTTAGTAGCCACAGGATCGACGGTTTTAAAAACATGCATTGTCTAATAACTTTTCCTGTTTAAAACGCACATTAAGCACAACATTATTTCGTTTATGTTTGCTCCTTTGAACCGAGTTTCTCAGTTTTAAAAACGGATTTGCAGCAAAAATATTAATTATTCGATGTCGATAGCTAAATTTGTTACTAATGCCGAGGAAGAAAGTTTCTTTTGGGCTGAAATTTGAAAAAATTGTAGACCTATAAATTTCCACTGTCGTCCAGCTGCTTGTCTGTCGATCCTTAATCTCAAGAAAAGAGTTAGATAGATGAATGGTGAAATGAGGTATGGAAACCGTTGGTGCCGGAGGCCCGAATTAACTGTATAGGATCGTCCAATGTGCAAGGTTGTCGACTTTAAGGGAAGTACAATTTATTCCGCGTCAGAAAGAGCCTAAGGGAAACCGCGTATGTGGGCGGTGGCGAAGGAGGCAAGTGAAGTACAAGTGTTTTNCACTGTCGTCCAGCTGCTTGTCTGTCGATCCTTAATCTCAAGAAAAGAGTTAGATAGATGAATGGTGAAATGAGGTATGGAAACCGTTGGTGCCGTAGGCCCGAATTAACTGTATAGGATCGTCCAATGCCAACTGGAAATAATGTTAATTCAATTCTTAATTTTTCTTTTAAAAAATTACCATCATAATTGTATTGTTAAAAGAAAAGTATGATGTACAGGGACAAGTTACCACTAATTTGAGGTGGACAGCAAATAGTTTAAACTAAAAAAAGGTACATTTCCTGTTTATTTGTTGTTCGTTTGTATTTAGAAAAAAGTTTATTTCTTATTTATTTTCTATAAAATCGTAAATTTTTTCCACATTTGTTCAATTTATTTCGTACAGTTTATGAATTTTCAGCTAAATAATAAATATGTAATATTTTAATGTTTAAAAAATGTATTTAATAAATTAAATGTTTTGAATGAAAGTTTCTTAATGATTTTTTAACTAAATAATAAATATGTAATATTTTAATGTTAAAAAAAATATATATTTAATAAATTAAATGTTTTGAATGAAAGTTTCTTAATGATTTATTAAATTGGCTTGTTCAAGGAAAGTATTTAAAGTCACTCTATAACACTGTTATAGTTTTAAATGGTGAATAAAAACTATTATAAAAATAATAAATTATATTTCATTTATATAGCATCATAAAATATAATTTATATTTACAAATATATATAAGTCATTTAAAATATACTTTCTTATTTACTGTATCAATATACACATATAGCGCCTCCCATGTTTCCATACATACAAAGGCGAAATGTAACTTTATTCACAAGACATTAAAATGTTAGCATTAAGATTTGTGTCAGTGGATTGATGGAGTAAGGCAACGGAACACATCGGTTATCTGCCAACGGATAACTTCTCACAGGACTTCCAGGATTTTGTTTTGGTGTTAGACACATGAAGAAAACTCAGAACACTGCATGGTGGTCAGCCATTTGTCAGGCACGAACCAATGATCAACAAACGTTAATGGTTTTATTTATTCGGCCACTGGTGAACTTGATTTATGATTTATGTCATTGTATAGAGACTTTTGCGACACCCTGTATCTATAGGGGAGATCGGGGCAACTTCGGCATGCGGGGCAAGTTTGTCAAGCGCTTTTTTTTAAAAACAAATTAAAAGGAGACTTTGGTTATAGGTTAGGCAGTTGAGTTTTATTGGTGGCTTGTTGAGTGTAGTGTTTTTATTGTTCTCCAACAAGCGTAGTTGAATTATCAAGCAAATTTTCATTTTCGTTCAATTCCATATAATATTTTTTTTCCATTTATATTGAATTGGCAGGTTTTGTTATAATTCCATGATAACGAAAGTTACTTTTCCTGTTAGAAGGATGTAACTTCAACTTATTCACGTGGCCAGATCGTGGCTTGGCATTCTGTTCTCAGGGTTGTACTTAATGTTTCGAAATCATGACTAGCGGGGTAAGATCGGCAACATAAAGCCACATTAGAAGCAAAGGATAAAAATCAAACAGATGATAAATGAAAACATGTTTGCATTTGTTATTCATGTATATATGTCTTTGAACTTGCATTTCGTTGTAATAATATTAAATGGGTGTTGGATTTGTATTTCTTTGTTTTAATAGTGTATTCCAACTTATACATTGTTAATAACATAATTTTATATACGTGCCTATCTTGCCCCATTACTGTTGCCCCTATACCAAAGGCAACTTTAATAAAAATAATTAAAATAATTACAACTTTACAAAAAGAGAGAAGTTGCCGATCTTGCCCCTATACCCGGGGCAACTTCGTCAATTTCTCTCTTCTTGTAAAGTTGTAATTATTTTAATTATTTTTATTTCCAAATTGATTTTAACCAGTTCTATAGTAAGGTAACATTCCAATAGACAATATGCAAAGCTTTTTTTTCAGTTTACAGCAGTATTTATTACACAAAATTTAAGTAAAGCTTAACATGCCGATCTTGCCCCGATCTCCCCTATATGCAATGATTATATTAAATATATATAAAAATGGACGTGTGTGTGCATATATTTCACTCTGCAGCCGAAACTACACATCGGACATGATTGATGCTTGTGTATAGTAGTAGTCCCAAGTCTCCCATCATACACTATGATGGTGGCATCTCGATAGCTATAAGGGTGTGGGACATATGGGGTTGAAAGTGGCTGACTTCTAAAATGCGTAACAATGGAAGTGTCAACAATGGAAGTGTTAAGAATGGAAGGGTTAACAATGGAAATGTTGAGTAACAAAGGAAGTGTTAAGAATGGAAGGGTTAACAATGGAAATGTTGAGTAACAAAGGAAGTGTTAAGATAAAACGACGTGCAAGATTTACAGGCGCAGATCCGTTTTTCTGCGTTTTTCGAGAAATCGAACATATTTTTAGATCCATCTAAAAATTCTCTAATTAGTCTGGAAATGGGGGACCTAAGGCTGTGTACACACTAGGCGTTTTGCGTTGCGTTAAACGCGCGTTAGCAGCGTACACACCGCGCGCTGGCTCGGCATTAGACGACCGTTTAGTGGAGCGTACGCACTGGCTCAGTTTGGAAATGGACGTGAAAGTAATTGCTTGTGTGCGCCTCTTCCATCGTCGCTATAAAAGACGATGGCAGAGGCAAAGAGAATTTTGGGTGCACCCAATATTACGAGATGGATTGACACATGGAATGTTTGCGACCTTGTATCCAAAACTAAGACAAAAT